CCATCTCATCCTCGGCCTTCAGCTTCTCGGCTGCCTCCTGGAAGTCGATGGTCTTGCCTCGTGTCCGACGACCTCCAGAAATGATATTTTCTTCAGAGATGGGTTCGAGATTGTCGTGGTCATCATCGTCATCATCTGTAGAATGGTTAGGTTAGCATGATCTAACCCTTTGAAACCATGCGAATATTCCAGAAGTCTTCAAGAAAGGGGAAAAAAGAGAAAAGGAAAATCTGAGTATAGAATGCCACATACCGTCCGCCATCTATGAGTAGATGAGTTAGCTTGAGCTTCTGAATTGTACATCACATGGGATGATGCGAACTCACCATTTCCTCGGCTTCGCTTTCATCACTGTCCTCTTCCTCGTCCATGCTCATTTCCAGGGAAGGCTCCTCAATGGCCTTGCCCTTGCCCTTGCCCTTATCCACAGCAGCCGCATCAGGAGCATTGGCAGCAGGATCGTTGCTGAGAGTAGCCTGGTGGTTGTCGCCCATTGTGGTTTGTTTCGAAGTGTCTCGGAGTACAGATATTAGGCAAGAACTAGGTGACGGAGATGAGTAAGTTCTAAACAGGGGGAAGCAATTGCAAGGAGACTTCCAAAAGTGATCTTGAGAAGAAGTACAGAAGGACCTTAAGTAGTGTACGGAGTGAGGACAGAACTTATTGTCGTAGAGGAATGATAACAACAAGAGCTGCGGACAGGAAACCAAAAACACATCAGCCGCAAGGGAGATGCACCTAAGACCTGTCTCCTCAAGTCCCCGAGTGCTGATTGGCTGATCACTCGATTGATCAGCAGAGAGATGCCCTAGACCTTTTCAGGATTGATTATTTAATGCGGCCTGAGGCTTGTAGAATCCATATCCCTGCTCAACAAGGGGAGCATAAACGCAGATGGAGTATTCATACTTGAGACTACTGTCCTAGTTCTGGGTTAACCAGCTAACGATGTGTGAACCTGAAGGTCTCTCTAAAGCTGTCTGAACTCGAGACCAAGCAAGACAGCAAATATCAGCAGGGCGCCTGAATGCTTCTGAATGTTTCAGTGCAAGACGAGCCCATCGTCCCTCTAGTGCTGGTCAAACTGCACAAAGATCAGCTGTGGAAGGTTCTATAGGCGATTGATAGGGCAATGATCATAAGCAGGGACGCTCATAAGAGGAGTTGGACTTCAATGTCGAACAACATCTCCTTGGCTGAACCAGCCCAAGACTAGGAGCATCTAAATAGCGATGATCTGTGGGAACGTTTCAATACCTGAGTTCTCCATAGAGGTCTATCTAATTATGGCTTGTATCTATGCAGAGGACGGTCTGCAAGAAGAAGAGCAAACTGTGAGATCCCTCCTGTTACCATGGCAACCGAACATCGATCTTGAAGGCAATGAGTGTCAACTCAGTATATTCCGAGCTCCATGTCAAAATATCCAACAGGCAGAGCTCAAGCGCTTGAGAGCAAAATTCTCCAGTCTGGGGATGAGGGAGTTGAGAGCTATGTAGGTAGGCCAGGGAAGCCAAATCTGTCAATGGCGATCATAGATCTCTAGAAACTGAAACCTTGAAGCTGTCATGAAACAACGGAGACAATGGGAAGGTGATATGCTTCCACCTCCAGGTACTGCTTCCAGAGGTAGCTAGATCTGTCCAAGTGGCGTCCCTACTCTGGCGAAGCAATTAGGTACCCAGGTATGATGCAGCCACCGCACTGGTGAACGTCAGACTGGTAGATGAAAGAAATGGGGAGAAGTATCCATACCCCACCAAAGACACTGGCGGAAACTGGGAGTCTCAGCCACGGAACTGCTGCTCTATTAGGCTTTCCGCTAAGAGTCATCATGACGACGAGATCTATGTGCTGAATCAATTTATTTCATTTCATTATAGAGATTATAATGCTGAATATTATCAAGAATTGTTCTGTAGATAGATAGATGGTAGTGAAAGTACTCCGTAGAAGCCAGACAAGACAGAAAAAATTGGAAGATTGTTACGTCATCCGGCGACCCCGCCATCTGCAGCCTAAAAAGGGAAAAAAAAAATTACTCATGGAATCATCCTCCACCAGATGCTTGGAGACTAGAGTTGCAAGACACATAAGCCCAATTCATCGAGAAACCGCTGGTAAACTAACGGAAAGGTCCAGAACATGGCCTGATAGTTCTTGAATTGACACCAATCATCGCGACACCTGTAGAATTGGCCCGATCCAGCTAATTTCCCTGATAGAAGCCCGTCGAACACGATGGATGCTCATCGAAGCTCCGTCCTGCTAGAAGCTTCGCTGGAGCTGAACTCACCGCCCTCCACTATATCAATGATTTCGCTCGCACAATTCCCTGACTCTCTCAGACTCAAATTTCTCACACACACAATCTTCTCACTAGAACTTCCTATTGTCTCTCTTCTTCCTCCCTTAGAGACTGTACATTAATCACCTCTCTCCTACTCTACCTTCACGATCTACCTATACCCTCTTCTTATCCTAACGAACCCCTCACTTCTCATTCACAATGGCTCCCGCTGTCGGTATTGACTTGGGTACCACCTACTCCTGTGTGGGTGTCTTCAGAGATGACCGCATTGAAATCATCGCCAACGACCAGGGTAACCGTACTACTCCCTCGTTCGTGGCTTTCACCGACACCGAGCGTCTCATCGGTGATGCCGCCAAGAACCAGGTCGCCATGAACCCTCACAACACCGTCTTCGATGCTAAGCGTCTGATCGGTCGTCGGTTCCAAGATGCTGAGGTTCAGTCTGATATGAAGCACTGGCCCTTCAAGGTCATCGAGAAGGCCAGCAAGCCCGTCATTGAGGTTGAGTTCAAGGGCGAGACCAAGCAGTTCACTCCTGAAGAGATCTCCTCCATGGTCCTGACCAAGATGCGTGAGACCGCTGAGGCCTACCTCGGTGGTACTGTCAACAACGCTGTCATCACTGTCCCCGCCTACTTCAACGACTCTCAGCGTCAGGCCACCAAGGATGCTGGTCTCATCGCCGGCCTGAACGTCCTCCGTATCATCAACGAGCCTACTGCCGCTGCCATTGCCTACGGTCTTGACAAGAAGGCCGAGGGCGAGCGTAACGTCCTGATCTTCGATCTTGGTGGTGGTACTTTCGATGTTTCCCTTCTGACCATTGAGGAGGGTATCTTCGAGGTCAAGGCTACCGCTGGTGACACTCACCTGGGTGGTGAGGACTTCGACAACCGTCTGGTTAACCACTTCGTAAACGAATTCAAACGGAAACACAAGAAGGTATTTGGTCCCAATTTCCCAATGATCTGTCTTTCGAACAATGCCTAACTTTCATAAACAGGATCTCACCACCAACGCGCGTGCCCTGCGTCGTCTTCGCACCGCATGCGAGCGTGCCAAGCGTACCCTCTCTTCTGCTGCTCAGACCTCCATTGAGATTGACTCTCTCTTTGAGGGTATTGACTTCTACACTTCCATCACCCGTGCCCGTTTCGAGGAGCTCTGCCAGGACCTCTTCCGCTCCACCATGGAGCCTGTTGAGCGCGTCCTGCGTGACGCCAAGATCGACAAGTCCTCCGTCCACGAGATCGTCCTCGTCGGTGGTTCCACCCGTATCCCCAAGATCCAGCGTCTCGTCGCCGACTTCTTCAACAAGGAGGCCAACAAGTCCATCAACCCCGATGAGGCCGTCGCCTACGGTGCCGCCGTCCAGGCTGCTATCCTGTCTGGTGACACCTCTTCCAAGTCCACCAACGAGATCCTGCTGCTCGACGTTGCTCCCCTCTCTCTCGGTATCGAGACCGCTGGTGGTGTCATGACTCCTCTGATCAAGCGGAACACTACCATCCCCACCAAGAAGTCTGAGACCTTCTCCACCTACTCCGACAACCAGCCCGGTGTGCTAATCCAGGTCTACGAGGGTGAGCGTGCTCGTACCAAGGACAACAACCTCCTTGGTAAGTTCGAGCTTACCGGCATTCCCCCTGCCCCCCGTGGTGTTCCCCAGATTGAGGTCACCTTCGATGTCGATGCCAACGGTATCATGAACGTCTCTGCCGTCGAGAAGGGTACCGGCAAGACCAACAAGATCACCATCACCAACGACAAGGGCCGTCTTTCCAAGGAAGAAATTGAGCGCATGCTGGCTGATGCCGAGAAGTACAAGGAGGAGGATGAGGCCGAGGCTTCCCGTATCCAGGCCAAGAACGGTCTCGAGTCCTACGCCTACTCCCTCAAGAACACCATCAGCGAGGGCAAGCTCAACATCAGCGATGCCGACAAGGAGAAGGTCTCCGGCAAGGTCGAGGAGATCATCAGCTGGCTCGACAACAACCAGACCGCCACCAAGGACGAGTACGAGTCCCAGCAGAAGGAGCTTGAGAGGTATGTTTCATCTATATCCCTTTAGTTTTCATGTCGACTGTATGCTAACGTTTACTCCAGTGTTGCCAACCCTATCATCTCCGCTGCTTACGGTGGTGCCGCTGGTGCCGCCCCTGGCGGTGCCGCCCCCGGTGGTGCTACCCGCACTGCTGACGAGGTCGAGGAGCGCCCTGAGGAGCTTGACTAAACGTCTAGCTCAGCGATGTTTCTTTCCTTTTTTCTCTTTTGCCTTGTGATATCTGGACAGGCAATAATGGGTTTTGCTTTTCCTTTCATGTCTTGTTTTACGAATTTATGGGATCCTTTTCTTTTGCGATGACTGCATAGATTCTAGTTTGTTTCCATGCATGATGGTCTACTATGCTTCGGTGGGAAAAGTCCTTACTAATGAGCAATGGAATCTTATCAAAACTGCTTTCCCTGTAATATTTCTCGTAGATGCACCAGGCTTAATGACACCAGTGCGGCGTATGTAAGCTGCGCAACTCTTGCGAAAATGTGAGTTGGCACCGGACATGGAGCCAGGGAGCTCGAGTCCCATCATTTGGGTATCGTGGTATAGTGTACAGATATCATGCGCAAACTTATATCAACTCATCCACTCTCACACCCATAAGGCAGAGAAAAAAAAGCACCGACATTATAAGCCCTCAAAATCACCCGCCCACCATCTCCGGACTCGATCTGCCCCCGTCTTTGCGATAGTCCCAAACCCGATCTCCCCCGCCCGCTCAGGATGTTTCTCTCGTTCCTCGCGACGGATCCGAATCAGCGCGGCGGAGGTACCAATCGTAAAGGCGAAAATGGGGTCTGCAAATCTGCGAGACTGTTAGCGTCGATGTCAATGTCAACGGCGGCGTCCAAGGCCGTGTCTTTCGTTGGTCGCGAGGTTCCAGGACGTTGGTACATCGGACAGGATGCACGTACTTGGAGATCAGGTAGATCGGCATAATGATGGTCTTGTTTTGGTATTGATATAGCACTCGGTATTGGTAGGGCTGGTCTCTGAGGGTCGAGGTATCAGCCTTGAAACACTGTATCCCATCCGCTGAAGCTGTAGCTGTTCTGTTTTTGTAGCTTGATTTATCCGCTCTTTGCGTCGGCAGATATATGGGTCACGTGGTAGGAGGCCTTTCTACATCCATTTTCTTCTACAAGTACATTCAAATTGCTTTCATTCTTTTGGCAAATCCTTGATAATGTGGTCACTTACTATGGCTCATTAACTCTCCCGTTGGACGCCCTACAGGAATTGGATAATACCGATTCTTGCTTCGGGACGGCATATAGATACTATATAATCACACTCCTCGACATGAACCACTTAACCACCTTGAAAGCCATAAAGAAGAAGTCTAGCTTGAAAACCCAATGCTTCTGTTGTCTGGATTACTTTACCAACTACGTGAAAATGAGACTACTATCTCAAACAAGTGGCTTATGTGAATTAAAGCATACTGAATATCCAATGTAAAAGTATCCATCACAAAATCGAAGTACAACTACCTCTCCAGATGCCTCTGTAACGCTCAAGACTTGAAAATTAAGTGGAGTTTTGTTTTCCTTTTGATTACCCAATAACCCGTAGCAAATCTATCAAACACAATGACCCGACAATAAAATGCTTCATCATCACACCGGAAAAGCACTTGAAGAAAGCTGAACAACAAAAATTACAGGCTCAGAATAATCCAATCATCTATACATTTAGACGACCTGACTGAATGCAGGGATCAAGGTCTGGGCCAGCCAGAAGCTGAAAACAAGCTTTGGCCCGGTCATCAGTAGCTTAGGAGTCAGGCCCTTGAAAAAGCTGGTGAATCCCTCGTTCTTCATCATGTTGGACACAATTCGGAAGCCAGACTCGGGGTGCTCAAAGTTCCGGTTCTGGATACGAGTCTTGATGACGTCCAAAGGAGCAGACACGACCAGAGACGCACTAGCACCACAGATGGACGCCACAAAGTTCTGACCCCATGTGGCCTTGTTGTAGTCCTTCAGGCTATAGATGTACTCCTTTGCAAAAGCGGATCCACCGAAAAGCTGTATGCTGCGGTCAGTGTTCTGTCTATACAGAATTGTTCTAGTCCAGTTGTGAGAAACATACCGCGAAAGATCCAGGGGCGTTACGAGCTGCAGTCCAGCCAGCACCACGGTAGAGTCCCATACCCTCGTCGGAGATGATCTTGAAGAGGCCACGTCCACGGAAGGCCTCGGGATTCGTCTGACGTTTAATCTTCAAAACATCAAGGGGCAGAAGGACGATTTCTCCGATACCGATCAAACTATTGTAGATTAGCGAAAGCTGCACATATATCACCCGGTTACCATAGAAAGACAGACCTTCCAGCAGTAGCATGCATGATGGCCTTGCCAGTTCCCTTTCCGAAAGCATTATCGAAGTCGGAGCCATGGTGCTTGGCGAGGTAGTCCCGAACAAAAGGCTGACCACCATACTTGTAGATTCTTTGCAGGACCTTCGAGGACTGTCAGCTCATTGACTCTCGGATCCCGCAATTTCGTATCTGGTCTCACCTTGTATCCAGCAGCGTAGCCCAGCCCGGGGAAGAGGGAGGTGAACTTGCGTCCGATAGGAGCAGTCGCGTACTCCTTGAAGACGACCTGACTCAAGGCTTCGGTGGATGCGATCTGGCAATTATATCCGTCAACCACTCCGCACAGACCCGCCCGCAGTCGCAACAAGCCGGTCACTCACCCTTGTCTGATTGCTCATCAATCGCTTCGCTATGGTATCAACCTGAGTTCCGTATTAGTTCAGATGTGCAATGACCGAATGGCGTCTTGCTAGAGGGAGATCGTACGGGATGGAAAACCATCAATTCGGCAATACCGGCGGTTCCTGTGATTTTGGAGTTAGTCATTGATCATGAGTCTCCAGTTTGAGCGCGAACATACCTGAGCCCAGCAGACGAGCAGTCGCCGATTCTTTCTTCACATCCTTAGCGGCAGAGCCAGCACCGGCGTGGACGATGGCAGGAGACATTTTGTTTTTGGTTGCTGGAAAACTTCACGAAAGATTCGAGGGAAAAAAAAGCGGAAACAAAACAGGATGTCCGCGAAAGGAATGAAACAAGATTAAACTGATTACTGGCAATCAGGCAGGAGAACCAATTATAAAAGAAGTATAAGAAGGAAACACAGAACTCCGGGCGAGGAGAAAAGATAAGAGAGATGAAGCAAATCAGTCCATCACTTGCACTCTTCTTCTTCGAGCGGAAACAGGTCTCTGGCGCTAATCCCGAATGGGACCGGGCATCCGGGGCGAGATCGGACTGGCAGCTTGGACTAGTCCATACGGGATACATTGGGATCCGCTATTCAACCCTGGCTTTGCAGTTGATGAGATATATCTGCGGTTGGATTAGGTTCTGAGGCTCGATCGTGGATAGCTAGGGATTATCTTCTTGTCTCGCGGGACATAAAATTACAGAGACACCCTCGGCCCTTGTACGGTAGCAGTCTCCCTTACAGAGAATCAAGGCAGACGGCATGGAACAGGCTTCGGTCATAACAGCTTAAAATAACTATGATATGAAATCACGCGAAGCTGGGTGAACTGACGCTAGAAGACTAATATGAATCAAAGCCGAGGAAGGTCTCGGGTGAAGGAGTGACTACTCGGAACTTGCTCTTGAATAGAAACGAGTGCATTCAAACTAAGATCATGAGATAATTTATTCACCAGAAGCCATCAAACCCATAGCTAGTTCGCCAGTCAAGTCCGTTGGGAAAAATAGGGAAAAAAATCGTTGCACACCCGATATAACGCCTGCGTACATGAGAGATAACCACCGCAAAGCCCGAGCAGTCCATCTATCTCATCATGGATCAAGATCAATCGACTTCATGACGAACTCGAAACGTAGATTCATGAATCCGGACACCTTGACGGTGCGGGGAATTACATTTGCTAACAAGGGCCCACAGATACTCAGCAGTCGCCGAAAGTATTCTCGCCAGAGTATCTGAAGAGGCGAGGTTAATAAATGTCTTGAGGGACGAAAGAAGGGGAATAACGCACGTGATGTACAGGAAGCCATCCTCATCCTTATGTTCTTCATAGATACTACTCATGAGCGCGGCGGTTGGTGGTAGGACCTCATCGACGAAGATGAAGATGGCCTTCTCGGGAGAAAGCTTGATGCGCTTGCGAATGACATAGACGAACTGACCAACAGTAAGGTCCGCAGGCACTAGGTACTTTTTCTTGTCGATAGTAGCAATGTCCGACTTCTCGACTTTCTCGCAGATAACCTGTGGAAGAGGTAGCCTAGTTAGTACCCGAACAAGCGGTGAGAGCGAATCTTGCTACTCGAAGATGTAACATCTTCATAGATTCCTCCAAAATTAAAGGAGACGAGCATACCGGGATACGGTCTGCGTACTTCTGGCGAATACGCTCAGCCTCTGCCTTGCGCTTCTCGAAAGGGTGTTCGTCCTTGAACTTCGACCGCATCTCGATAGATAAGGGCGGATAACGGATAAGGCGAAATCGGAAGGTTGTTGGGATCGAAAGACCGTGATAAAATTAGTGGTTGGGAGAGATTATCTCGCTGTTGATTGAAGATGAATAGCAGACAGAGATAGGAAACGAGGATGGAAGAGGTGAAGATGAAGGATGACGAAGGTGAGGGAGACTGATAGGCAAGGTAGGATAGGTCAGCAGTAAGTAATAGCCAGCAGAGGCGACCTGGTAGGCAGACACAGTCACAAGTCACAAGATGACAAAACGAAACACAGGACAAACTGACAAACGCAAGCAGCCCCGCGTAATATATGGTATTATCAGCGTATGATACACCTGATAAGTGTCACTGTGCAGATCATGGGGGTGGTAGGCGGTCAAAGGAACCCCGCTCAGTGAGTCAGGTGCTTCTGATCATCCTGAATTTGTGCCATTTTATTCTGGAATATCCTGTGATACTCAAGCTATGCAAGACAGAATAATACCTACGTAGACGGCTAGTGAGCCTTATGACTCTTCCTCTGTAGATGTGACGGTCTTGACAAGCTCTAAGAGGCAGTGTGACGATATGATCATTATCGGGACCTCATCCGGAGACTAGCTTGAGCTTCGGCCGCTTTGATCCGCGGCAAGTTGTCAGCTAGAAGCAGTTGTTCCTGAACTCCCTTTTCAAGAGCTCTGCACCAAACAACATGATCATTTCCACCTTGATTATATGTTTTCACTAGTTATTGGCCAAGCAAATGAAGTACCAGTTAAACTCCGTAGTTTTATAAGATCAAGCTCAGGCAACAAGGCAGCATTTTTGATGGGGGACAAACGGTTCATAATACTTCTCTTAGCACACCGCCTTACTAATGGGAGGCAAACACGTCAATCAATGCAAATGGCACAAACTGTTTTGAATTGGAGGCACGGAATCAAGTGTTCTCCGAGTATCATGACAACGGGTGGTCCCATATCAACTGTTTCTGGAGGTAGTTCGACTACTTCTCTTCTACACGGTGGGCTGAGCCCCTCGGACAATATTTTCGTCTCCCACAGAGCTCCGGTAGCTCCTGAAGCATCACCTGATTCTAGGATATCAGCCAATTGACCACCACCTGCATATCTCTTAAATCATGGCTTTGCCGCGAGCATTTATGCCTCTTCGGAGGTCACTCTGCCAATTCTCGTCTCGAACCTGTCGCAACCCCACCCGTACATTGCGAGGAGCGCATCGTTGTTATTCGTCCGAGCAAAAGCCTCGAGAGCCGCAACAGTTTACTGTGTGGAGGCCCTATCTTCGGCTGGCAATCGGTGTGCCGTTCATAGGAGCATTAATATATTCAATGGTACGTGCAACGATCTGGTGAACACCCCGTTCCATAATACATGGTCTAAATATGACTTGGCAGATGACCGGCGAAGTGACGGATCTCGACTCTCCGTCCATCGTGGAGCTCGATGAAACCTTAAAAAAAC